CCAGGTCTGCGGTCCATTGGCTAGCGTAGGAGTGAAAGTCGGTACGAGGCAAAGAGTTCAGAATAGTATATAGGATTGACACCTGTCTAGGTCCTCCAGGTGCATAGAGGCAGATGTGCTCGAAGGTGGTAATTGGGTTATTTAAGTGTCTGCGCGCTTGCATAGTGGATACCCAGTGTTGGAGCTGAATAAACCTAAACAGTTCTGCATCAGGGATCTGTTTGTGCGTTTTAAGGTACAACCAGGTGAGTAGGCTAGAGGAACAATAAAAATCGTACAGTCTCGTGAAGCCATTATTGGTCCACCACTTAAACAGAGTCGGGTTGTCAAATGCTGGGATAAATAATGGTTGGGAAGTTATGGGCAGAAGAGGTAGAGTTGGCGATATCAGGCTGGAAGAATATTTCAATGAGTCCCACACTTTCAAGGTATGGTTCATAAGAGGGCTGAGCGAGCGGGGCCACAATACATACATTTTAAGAGCAAGACATGGAAAACCAATCAACTGACAGAAGACTGGACTTCCAGTCTTATCCAAACTTCTGATGCAGGAGAGAACAAATGCATTTTTATAGCGTGAGCAAAGTGAAATCACCTTTCCAACCCAAAGGTCTTTCTGATCCTTTACCCACAGCTAACTTGCTGGTCTATGTCAGCTCCCATTCTATTTCAAATACATTTTACTGCTACGCATAAAAGAAATTGCAAGATATAAAATGTGTAAGGTACCCCATAGATATCTAATGATCTCTGATACCTGCAATTTTGACAGGGTCAAACCATCTGGATGGCTGCAAGGACGCTCAGAGCAAAATGTAGGCTTCAAGGACCTCCACTGAGCAGAACTACTATCAGTCAGATAAGAAGTTGGAACATTGGTTCCCTTAAAAGAACAAGTCATCAGAGGTCTTTGGTGCACACATTAACATACATGCTTATATAATGTCTGTGCTGACAAGGACATTTCTCAAAACCAAACCACCAAATCATCTATTTTGTAAGGTGCAGTTACACTTTAAGGTTTTGCAAGACCTGTTGCGATTTGTAGTTTCACCACAGATGGAGGGCAGAAGTTTGCCTACTCCTTCTTTAAAGACAGAATAAGAAAAAGCAACACACATAAGGTTCCCTACATGTTTCAGTCCCCCAGTTGCTTGCATTAGTTAACGGACTGAAGCCTAGACAATGAAATACAAAGGCTCTTATTCAAAAACAATTTCATGGCTGATTTATGGCTGTACGCCTCCCTACGCTCACCCGCCCTGCGAGTGTCCCGGCTCGGACGCAGACAGGATCCATTACGTCAGTGTACGAGTACGGACACCCGTACCCGCACGGACGGTGAGCTCAGGGAGGCGTACGCCCATGTATTCCCATTGAGAAGGACAGGGGCTGGTACTAATCAAACACAGCCCCTGTCCTTCCTGGGAGCTGCCCGATATGGCCGTGGAGCAGTGTCGGCCTTTTCTCGTGTAAATGATTACCTTGAATGGGTGACACTTGTATATTGCCGATTTGGGATTCCTGCTGCAGGAAATCACAATACCCCGACGCAGGAATCCTTAAACACACCTACGTTGTAAAATCAGAAGGTATTCATGTTTCCCCCCAAAAAAACAACATACAAGTCATTCATTCATGCCCAGTGAGACAGCCCAACAGAGTAATGGGTCAATAGCAATGTGCTAGGGGGAGGAAGTAGCAGCAAGCTCCAACCCTAGGTGTAAATGTGTTTGAGTTTTGCCTGACATTCCACCATAAGAGCATTTGTTCAGTCTCTTTGAAGGGAAGTGAACTGATAACAGTGCTGCTATCCCTAACAATGGTGTAAGCTCCAGGGCTGTCATCCTCCCACTCCCTTCTATAATTAGTAAGTGACTGTGGTGAAACACACACCCTGCAAGAGAAACTGGAACTTCAGACTTCTTTAGTGTTAGCACATGACAAAATCTCTTTTTTTTTGGCCAAAGAAAACCCAGTAGTCATCTATAATGATGTTACAAATCCATGGTTTTACTTTTACTGCAGCTCAGAGAAGTTGTATTATAGCAAAATCAAAAGAAACATTAGCACTAAAAGGATGTTAACATTTGCATATTGCGATGACATTATTCAAAGATTGCTGTATAAAAGGAGTAACCTATTTCTGTAAAGCACTATAACAAATAATATCCTTAACTGCACACATGGCATTCATTAAAAATGCCTGGAATGCTGAAGCAGAGATGTGTTGCGCATCTGTTTCCTCTTTTACAATACAGGCGGATAAAGTTCAGCTAATGGAACTCATATTTTAGTTTAATCCGTAGAATGAGAATGCTGAACACGACCCCCTTCTCAAACACCAACCACCAGATTCAATAAAAATGTGTCAAGTGTTTAATTTGGTCTGAAGCCACCTCAAACACGGCTGCTAATGCTGTCATAAAAAAAATAAAAAGCCTTTTCCCCACCAACTGTCAGAAGGCAACCGCTTAATGAATTAGCAACATTTGCTAATTTGTGCACCAGTCTAACAAACCTTTTCTAATATGACCGTGTCTAGAAAATGCCTCTCATACAGATGGCGGAGCTGCTAATTCATACAGTAAACGTTCAAACTTTGGAAATGATTCTTTCAATAAATGAATTGCTTTTTTCCCCAATAGTACACTGTGGCTAAAACTGCAAAGCGTAACATCTTTGGCTTGGCTAACTAAACACATATTCCTTTATATTCCACAAGGTGAATAAATATTTCATTAAGCAGAAGTTTTCTTGAAGTTGGATTCTAGTCAAAACATATTTTTCTGTGTACTGGATAGATTGGAGAAGGGTCCAAATCTGTAAAACAGAACTATGGGGTACACCTTTTTTGTGTTTTTAGTTTCCTAATAAATCAGCAGTATAATTTGCAATGTACTCCTGTAATCAAAAATCCACCATAAGCTTGCAAGTCAATGTAATATACTGTGAACGGGGCTTAGCTCTGTGCTGAGAAGCGATCATGATAATATTGTCGGGATCCTCCCTACTCTTCTCTCCCCCATTAAGTGACAGTGCCTTGTAGGAGCCGCTGCACGTTTATGAATACCTGTGCAGGTGCAACAGCTCAGGGCACCTCTTATCAAAGATTATTCATGTCATGTCACATTGATCTACCAACACTTGCACATCCATCCCCGCAGGTTCGTCCCCGCCTCCCCTCCATGCCGCTGTCTTGGGACATACACATAGGGAATAACACAGGCAGTGCAGCTCCATCCCCTGTCACCCTCCACCCCGCTGCTCTCTCTCTCTCCTAGCTCATCAGGAATAATATAAAGGAGATTTGCAGCAGTGCTTCAGCAATTTGACAAGGTAAGATCAGTTACTGAAGCACTGCTGCAGATCTCCTGTGTTACTCCGAATGAGTCGGGGAGAAGAGAGACAGCAGTTATACTGACCTGATCCTGAACCAGCTGGCTCTTAGACCAGTCCCTTCTGCCTTTATCTTCCTCCGCTACAGGGGTCTAAGAATCCTCGAGTCATCACATTCTATACACAATGTATAGGATGTGAAAATACAGAGAAACTTTTTTTATGTTTAGACCGGTTCTGCACGTATCAGTGCACCAGAATATGCGCAGACAACCGACCCTGTGTGAAACAAGCACTTAGGCTCCATTCACACAGGAGCGGCTGTCTGCGCGTATTTTGGTATACGAATACGCACAGAACTGGTCTAAACATTAAAAAAAGTGCACTATAATGTGCATTGTTCAGGCGTTTGTGACACAAGCAAGAAATTATGGCGGATATATATAGTAGGATCCGTGCAGTTGTAAAGATTTTACCCTTTGCATGCCGTGCGGTCTTCTACATGGAAAACCACATGGGAAATGCAAATGCTATATGTGAATGGAGGCTTAACCCTTGCAGTGCCAAGAAAAGCCCCACTACAAGGAAATATATTTTTTCTCCTTAGAGTACTTCTTTAAAGTGAATCAAATTGTTTATGAGAAGTAAATAAATTCTCCCATCAGTGTGGATGGAGGAATCTCCCCTGCTGGCTATTGTAGTGAGCAGCCAGGGGGCCCACCGATCCATCTGTCCGGATGCAGTCATTGTTTTGCCAACAGTTTTCCACTTGTCTCTTTCTATGAAAGTGTGTTGAAAAATCGATTTTTGTTGAGCCAGCTGTTGCCCAGAGTCACCCATAGCACACATTTCAGCTGGTTCAGGAATTAGCTAGATTCAAGTAGTGGTTTTCTTTCAGTTTATCTCTCACTTCCTGTTGTGCATCCAGCACATGAAGAGAAGACAAGTCAACACCATGGGGACACAGAACACACAAACCTGTGTTTGAGGTTCTAGCACCATCTCAGTGATCTAAACTAGAAACCCGGTTTTGCTGGAGATCCACATTAATCACAATGCTCACCTGTGACACAGCTCCAAACATGTTCTTTGCTGTAACCGTCATGGATTTCAGAGGACGCTGTTTCTCTTTGACCCCCACTCGTTCCCAATCAGGCACAGCATTCACATTCATTTCCACAGGCTTTAGAGGCATCCTCTTCCTCAAGGACATTCTCAGGGAGTTGAGGGAGCTTGACGATGGCATCTTTCGGAATTTATCAGGCAGAGGACTGTCTTGCTCATCAATATTTTCCAGAACATTGTGACTCCTCCAGCCAACGTTTTGCAAAATTGAAGACATTGTTCTACAAATATTTGTAACCCTGCAAAAGACATAAAATGAGACAACACATATTACAGTATTCAGATTAGAATACTCTGTGTTTAATTATCATCTGTTTTGTAAAGCAAGTTATGTGGTCTTGTTGAAGCTCTATTCAGATACATAATGTTTCATTTTTCTACAGATACGCCACTCTCAAGTAACTGGACTACCATGAAGCCAAGTTACAGCGGTCTAAAAGGGAGGGATAAATAATAAACAGTGGAAGACATATGTTGTTCATTACAGCATAAATACACAACAATCTGCACTGTGAATACAATAAAAAAAAAAGTCTATGATTAAATTGATATTAAAGTTACAAGGCTTTCCAGCTATTTCAAATGATGAAGAAATCACTTACAATGAATGCTGCATTTTGATGTTGAAAAATGTTAGCTTCTTGCAGAATCAGTTGGTCCCAAGCATTGGCCCTGATATTTTGTTTTAGGGCTTTTTCACACCAATTGCAGTGCGTTCTAGAGCGGTAGCTGCTGGAACAAACCGCAATCGCTCACAAAACTTCCCCCTGGGTTCTTGGGCGGGAGGGGGCGTGGCGGTGCATTGAAGTCATTGGCACCACAGCCATGCCCCCGTCCGCAGTGCGATCGGACGCGTGGCAAAACACTGCCTGCGTTTCGTTCCACTGCAAACAAAGAATAGAGTAAGCAGCATTTTTTGGGTTTGCAGTGGAACGGAACGCAGGCAATGCTTTGCCATGCGTCAGATCGCACTGCGGGCGGGGGTTTTGGTGGGTGCACCGCCACACCCCCTCCAGCCCCAGAATGCAGGGGGAAGTTTTGTGAGCAACTGCGGTGCGTCCAGCAGCTACCGCTCTGGAACACATCGCAATTGGTGTGAACAAGTCCTTAGGGTAGTTCCTTTCCCTTGCAGGGTCCTATGGAGCCACCATTGTGTGTGTGCTAGTAAGCTGTGTGTCTCTCCACAAACATATGGCAAAGCAAACCACTCCACTGCTCTCTACTCCTCCTTCCTCCAGGCTAGTAGATGACCAGCTGCCGGTGTCTGCTCTCTCTCACTTGTGATCTTGTACTGGAAAGGAAGTTCAAGGAAGATGAGCTGAGAGAGTTGGAGCCAGCTTTTGAAGAACACAATAACTGTAAGCGGGCAAACATTTGCTATGTCGCCTTGCCTCAAGACGCTCAAGTTCCCAGACTTGTCAGATGGGAGGGTGGCTACTTTTGTTCCCCATGGTCCCTGTGTGTGATGTAAAGTAGCCACTGCTCCAAGCTCGCTCCTGTGATGGACTACAATCTCAGGTTTAGTTTAGTAATTTGTTATTGAGATTGTAGCGGCATTCACTTTTAAGAAACTTTGGCATTTTTTAAGCCATTGTAAATTGATGTTTTTGCAAATCACGGCTAGTCAAAATTTCTTGCTTGATATGATATATTTATATTTGAACGTAAAAGCAGAAATGATTAGAGGAAAAAAACAAACAAACCCTGCATTACACAGTACTACCTTATCAGCTGTAATGCAGACTACAATACTGAAGAGTTGACATTTGCGTCTAGTAATTATGTGACACATCCAGACTTCCTGTCTATGCATACGTCTTACAGATTGCCTAAAAGTGCCCATACACCTGCCGATTATCGTACAATAATCGCGGGTGATCCCGCAATCGTACGATAATCGGCAGGTGTATGGAAGGCGTGCTAGAGTTAGGACCGCACTATAAGAGGTGCCTTGGCGCGGCAGTGCGGCTTACACATCCTTTGCAGAAGACGTGTATCCAAACCTCTGTCATTGTCCTTAGTGGTGAGACAAGTTGTTTTACATGCTAGTTTGTGAGTGTGCCATGATGCCTTTCTACAGTTTCTACTGTACGGTCGCACGTCCTTTGTCTCCCGAGCAGGCTTGGCGTTCTCGGGAGACAAATGCCGCACGGGCCGGTGTGTGCAAGCGCACACTGCCCGTGCGGCATTGGATTCATCGGAAGCCCTCCCCTCAGCGGGGCGGGCTTGCGATGATCACAAGTACGATCTGCCTGACCAAGATGGGCAGATCGTACAAGCTTTTAATTACTTTACAATCATCGCACGATGAATATCGTGCAATGGTTGTAAAGTGTATGGCCAGCTTTAGGGCTAGTTCACACCAAGCTCGTTACAGGAGCAGAGCAGTTACAGAACGGATCAAAACTGCGTCCAATGTATTCCAATGGTATTTTGGGCTCTAGTTCACACTGCAGCATTCAGTTCCGGAGCATGTAAAAAAAAAAAACTGCAGCAAGCCCTATTTACCTTTTTTGGTGTGCAAAAACGGCCCTGAACGCGTCAACAAACGCGGCAAAACGCACTGCGTGTGCAGAAACTCATGCAGATCGGGTCTGCATTTGGTGTGAACAAACCCTTGAGAACACAAAATAATATAAGCTCTTCCATCATATCAGGTAAAACAAAAAAATAATCTGCTTGTGACCTAAAACATCTTTATTTGTGAATTTCATGTCAATCACATCTCTCTAGAAAACAGATTGGAACTTCTAAGTTTTGAAAAGCGAGCCCTGACTTTTCCCCAGCATGGGAAGGATTATTAATGACAGCTAGCTTTGAGGACACACAACCATCATTCACCGCCAAGTTCACAATGGGCGGATGAGATTCAACTGCTGGAATTTGAAATGTGCATTCTAAAATAAGGAATTAGAATGGGAACAGGAAATGTGAATATACATACAGTATACATGCCAGAACGGAGATATTCAGTAAACTTTCTGCAGCTTGTTGGATTTACAGGAAACGTCAAAGAGGAAGAAACTAATGTTACTGAGCCAAAACACCATAGTCAAGCAGAATGGTTCACATGAGGAATAAAGTAATTCATTACACAGAAAGTTATCAGTACATACTAAGAAGAGACTTCAAGCCATGACGGCAAACATCAGCATAAAGTAATCACAACAGCCAAGTAGCCAGTGACCTAAGCAACTGCAGCTGGTGGCTTACTTTATCTGTAAATGGCACATATATGCTGCCCTCATGGAAGTTACTTGAGGTTCTTGTAATTCACAGCCCATCCAGATTGGGCAAAAAATGCAAAATATCAACCACCCGGAAGCTTTTAATAATAAAAAAGAAAGCAGCCCCATCTCCAGCACGGTCTCCCATTCCTCTTCCAAGCTGAATGACACCCAAGGTCATACAACACAGTTGCTATGAGCCCAGGACACCAAGGGCTTAATTTCCCTTGAAAAATACTGCAGAGAGGGGCACCACATCGTTACATGGCACCACGCTCTGCAGCAGTTAAAATCTGACAGAGGAAGAAGACCTCCTGTGTCTGGACCATAGACACTGAGAAGAAAGGTTCCATCGAGCCCTCCAATGGGAGGAAGGGGACAAAGCCAAACTCAGGGTTCAGCTTTATTTTTCTTCCACACTGCACCCTCATTTTAACTACTTTACCACCGCTATATGTATTATTTATTATAGGCTTATTATTATTTATTTATAGGCTGCAGTAAACAAGATGAGAACGTATGTGCATGTAAAGTAAACTAGGGACGCACTGATACCAGTATCGGTGCCGCTACTGGGGATTTTCACCAGTACTCGGTGAAAATGCCCCGATACTAAAGCACCAATACCGGTGCTTTAAATTTTTAAACACGGCTGCTGTAAGATCCTGCGCATGCTGGGGACCCCATAGTGCCTGTTTACAGCGCCAGTCCAGCTGCACATCTCCTCTTCCTCCTCCCCGCCGCCCGCACACCCATGGTGAGACCGGGCACAGCACTGGGGAGTCCCACATCTGCCCGCACAGCCCTGGTGAGACCCACACAGCCATGGCGAGACCCTGCACGCAGTACTGGTAAGCAACACAGAGTATGCCGCTTCATATTATTCTGAATTGCTGTATAATGTATTGCTGGAATTTGTAGTCCTCTATAGCTGGTGGTATTTTGTATTGCTGTATAATGTATTTCTGGGATTTGTAGTCCCTCTACAGCTTGGAGTCAGTGGCAGAACTATCAGGGGAGCAGTGTATGCAGCTGCAACCAGGCCCTGGTGCTCCACCACTGTCCTAAAATCATTTATTGTTTGTTGTTTGTTGACATTGTTGTTTGTTGTCAGCACATACTTGAGGAAAAGTATCAGTACTCGGTCTTGAAAAAATTGTATCGGTGCATCCCTAGTAGAAACATCTAAACCTATAACAAAACGAAAAATACAAACTCTCCCTGAGCACCGACGGAAGCCTCCCTTCATATCTATGCAAATGGGAACTTTGTCAAAGTGACTTTGAGCTCACATTTATCTCCTCCAATAGACAAATGGAGCATTGGGGAAGCCAAAGCAAGATGAGTATGTGCTGCTGGGGAGGGGCCACTCAAGTAAACCTGCTGCTATACCTTGCATGGGAATCTCATGGGTTTTAGGGCTCGCTCACACCAGATGTATTAGGACTGCGCTGAGCACCCTTGCCCAGCGCATTCCTAATGCACACACAATTCTTTATTACGAAGTCAGTTCACACCATCGCATTGGTGTGCTGAGAAAAAAAGTACTACATGTAGTGTGTTTTTTAGGGATGCACGGAAACAACATGTTTAGACTGAAAGTAAAAAAAATTGTCTGGCCAAACGCAAAACTGACTTTTTTCCCCCAACTTTTAAAATCTTTTTACATTTTTATTTTTACTTTTGGGGGCTCTGGGGAAATATCAGGGGTCTAAACATACCCCCCGATATTTCCCTTTTAAAATAGAAAAAGAAACTGAGGAGAGTCAAATCTCTTTTTCTGCAGGCTCTGTTATGAATGAACACAAAACCTCTATACTGAGTGCTCTATACCCTGTTTATTAACGATATCAGGGAGGGAGTAAATAGCCATGTTTCCTGATGATACTAAAATCGGGAGGGTAACAGACACGGAATTAGACAGTACAACATTACAGGAGGACCTGGATAAAATAGGGGAGTGGGCAACTACATGGCAGGTGAGGCTTAATGTCGATAAATGTAAAGTAAT